TGCTTGCCAGTGCATCTGGGCAAGCAAATGCTTGTGGCTGCGAGCATGGGCACCTGCCGGTGCAGGTAGGGAGCTGCCCGCTGTCCCACGCCTGCTGCGGTCGCTGCCTGGCTGGCACCGCTCTGCCTGCGAACCGCAGCTGCCGCAGCAGGGCTGCTGACCCCGCGGCTCCTCCAACACAGGTTGAACTGGCAGCGATCCTCAAATTTGTGCTGGACAATGAGGAGAGCCTGAATGAGAATCTGGAGACATTTCTGCAGAGGAAAGGTGAGTGCTGGACCCCGGCTGCCTGTGCTGTGGCACCAGCCCGGATTAACAGCCCAAGCCTTGTGCCGGCAGCGTGGGCATTGGGCACGTTTTTCTCCTAGCCAGCACCCGTGCGGCACCCAGTGAGACGGAAAGGTTAGCATGTTGGCTGTAGTGATGTCCAAGTGCCAGTGCGGAGTGGGACAGAAACAGACCATAACCTTGCGGAGAGCAGCAGTGTGGGATATTCTGAGTGCTGAGCACTGCTGGCATCTTCCTGCGCTTCACTTTCTTCGCACTGCGAAAAGGTCCCCTGTGAGCCCTCCTTTAAGAGGAGGGCTGCCTTATGCCTGCCAGGCTCTCCCTGCTCGGCAGCATCGCGCCGCTGAAGCGTGCTTTCCCTGGAGGAGCGAGGTGGGTGGGATGCCCATGGCTTCGCGGTGGGAGTGGAGTGCCGGGGCAGGACCGTGGAGCTGGCAGGACAGGGACGTGAGGCAGGTTTATGGCTTTCTCAGCTGGGCTGATCCGTCCCTCCTGGAATTTGCAATTCCTGAGCATCAGGGATTTCAGCTGCTAAAGCCTCCCTCCTGGTATTAATGTGAAGATCACAGCCTGCTTCTCACTTGTGATTTCCAGTGCCGCTGTCCTCGTCCAGCGCGTCCAGCAGCAGCTCTGAGGAGCACTCCCCGCTGCTCTCCCTCCCGCACAAGCGAGAGGTGCGTTTCCTGGAGCTGCAGAAGATTGCCTCCTCCTCCGGCGCCAACAAGTACGTCCCCAGCCCCTCTGTTGCTGGTGGGGAGCGAGGGAACACACAGGGCAGCTTCTGGGACCCGGGGATGTAGCCGGGGTGCACGCTGACTCGACAGAGACCCCCTTACTGCCATAGTGCTGTCCTGCTGCAAACTCCTCAGGCTTGACGTGGGGATGTGCCATGGGGGGCTGAGGTCGGGCTGTAATTCAGCCCAGCTCGTTTCAGCCTAACGCAGACACTTCTCAGAGCAGCCTGTGGTCCTCTCCTGCCCTGGGTGGGCTTGGGAGGACCAGGCTTGTGTTGCCGCTGGATGTGCTAAAGGAGTTTAGGAAGCTGAGCGCTCTGCGGTGGGGTTCTGGCTATGGTGTAAAGGGAGATGGATGCTTTGCCCTGGGACTGGCGGTGGCTGCCAGACGCTCGGAGGCTGGCGCTGGTGCAGTCGAGATGAGGAGAGTGGCGTTTCTGCTCGGGTGACGAGGCATCGAAGTTACTGCTCTGAACCTGCCTCTGAGGCGGGGGAACCAGAGCGGGTCTGGCTGCACGGGGAGGGGCCGTGCTCTGACTTTGGCTCCGGATAACAGAGTTATGTGGCGTGCCTCTCCACAGCATGCTCCCCGGCCCTCCATCCTCGCCCATGGGGGACGTCATGCAGACCCCCCAGTTTCAGCTGCGAAGGCTGAAGAAGCAGCTGGCTGTTGAGAGAGAGAACCGGGATGAGCTTGAGGTGGAGCTGGCAGAGAATCGCAAGCTCATCACAGAGAAGGGTCAGTCACTAGCGGGACGTCCTGGGGTGTGGGGAGGGCTCTCTGGGGCTGAGACCTCCTTTGGTTTCTCTGACTTGGTTATGATTTTGACCCCACCACGACTGTGCTCACGCACAGTCCATCCTGGCAGACTCCAGGTGAGCACAGCTCATGGCTTTGGAGCCGTTTGGCTTTCCAGAGCAGACAGGGCAGCTCGGGGTTTGCGGTGCTTCACTCCGTCGTGGGCCAAGGGGACCCTTGCCCATTAATCTGGACCAAAGCATGAAGCAGAAAGCCTTGCTGATGGGAGCCAAGACAGCTCCAGCACTGCTGTAACAACTCTGAGATCTCAGAGATGGCTGTCGGTCCCTCTGCCAAATGATTTGGAGCAGGCTGGCAGGCGTAGGAGTCCTGCCGTCCACATCTAAAACACTCTCCGCACTGGGGATTTTCCCAGGCGCGTGTGGAGACTGCAGGTTCCTTCTTCCCTCTTGTATTCCCTTATATATCCTGGGCAACAAAAGCCATGACTGAAGCAACACCCGTGCTGAGCAGCAGTGCTGGCAGCCTGGTGCTTCCGTGTCCTGCTTCAGAAGGCTTCTGTGCAGCAGCTCCTCAGCAGCTTGGGAGGACAGACATCCTCCATCGTGCTGTTGGGGGGGTTCAGGTGACAGAAAAAGATGGTAACGGGCCCTTTCTCGCTGCCCTCCCCAGAGGCTCAGATCACCATGATGCAGCAGCGGATTGACCGCTTGGCTCTGCTCAACGAGAAGCAAGCTGCAGACCAGCCCGAGCCCAGGGAAATGGAGGAGCTGAGGGAGAAGAACGAGAGGTAATCCTCCGGGGACGTCGCTCCCTCCTGCTAGGCTGGTCCTTGTCACTCCCATGTCCCTGGGCTCTGCGTTGTCTGTCTCTTCCCCTGCAATGAACAAAACAGGGGTGAGGGAAAACCTTCCCGTTGCTCTGTACTGCCTCCTCTGCAGCTGCACCCGGGGAGGAGAAGGCTTCGGCAGCCACAGAATCACATCATGGTTGGGGTGGGAAGGGACCTTTCCAGGCCACCTAGTCCACCCTCCTGCCATGAGCAGGGACATCCCCAACTCGAGCAGGTTGCTCAGAGCCCCGTCCAGCCTGACCTGGGATGTTTCCAGGGATGGGGCAGCCACCACCTCTCTGGGCAACCTGGGACAGGGTTTCACCACCCTCAGTGTCAAAAATTTCCTTATATCCAGTCTAACTCTCCCCTTTTTTAGTTTAAAACCGTTACCCCTTGTCCGATCGCAACAGGCCTGCTAAAAAGTCCCCATCTTTCTCCTCAGCCCCTCTCAGCCCTGGCAGCTGCACTAAGGTCTCCCCGGAGCCTTCTCTGCTCCAGGCTGAGCCCCCCCAGCTCTCCCAGCCTGTCCTCCCAGCAGAGCTGTTCCAGCCCTCGGAGCGTTGCTGGGGCCTCCTCTGGCCCCGCTCCAGCAGGTCCATGTCTCTCCTGTGCCGAGGGCTCCAGAGCTGGACGCAGCCCTGCAGGGGGGTCTCCCCAGAGCGGGGCAGAGGGGCAGAACCCCCCCCCTCGCCCTGCTGGCCACGCGGCTTTGGGGGCAGCCCAGGGCACGGCTGTGCCAGCTGGCACGCTGCTTCTTGTGATCGGGATGATTATGGCCCGTGGCCCTTTTTTATCGCAGCAGGCAGGGAGCCAGTCCCAAACCCTGCAGCATGTTCTGACAGCCCGCTCCTTACCCTGGTCCCGGCACAGGAATGGCCATCCCTGTTGTGGGAAAAGGGTGTGCTGCCTGCGTGGCTCTCGCTCACCTCCGGAAGAGCCTGCGTGGCCTTCCCAGCCCTGGGATAGGCCCTGTGTCGCTGAAAGCTTTCAGGGTGATACTGGAGCTCCCGACTGCAGCCCCTTCCCCAGCTGCTAGCCCTCCAGTTTGATCCAGTCTGATCAGATCTGAACTGGGCTGTGTTGTGCACTTTAACGCTCTCGCCTGCCACGCTGTGTCCTGGTCTTTGCCCTGGCCCTGTGCAGCGACGTGTTTGCTTGGGAAGGACGCCCAGCCTCCGCTGGCATGTGCCATGCCTTTTTTGTCCTTTCCTCACTTATTGCACTTTGCAGAGGTGTGGCTGGAGTCCTGCAGCTGCCTCTGCCTTCAGTTCAGAGTGGTCGGGCTCGCACAAAGCACAAACATGGCTTATCTCTGCTCCGCTTTGCGACGTACTGGGACCCAGCTTAGAGCTGCATTTATGGTAGCTTCTCACCATGGCACAGGGATACCTCGGTACCTTGGCTTCCTCAGCAATATCCAGCAGCATTGGTCTCCAGCAATGTCCTCGCTTGCCTTGGGCTTGCACCCCGGGCTTTAATGACCTCCTCTCCCACAGCCTGATGGTGCGCTTGCATGATGCCCTCAAGCAGTGCCAGGACCTCAAGACTGAAAAAGGCCAGATGGACCGAAAAATCAATCAGCTCTCAGAGGAGAACGGGGACCTTTCCTTCAAGGTACGGGGTGCTGTGTCCTCTCTGTGTCCCCACAGCCCAGTCGTTTGTGGTGGGACCCAGGGGGGGAGGATTTGATGGCAGTGCCAGACGCTGGGCTGCTTATGGCTCTGCCACTGGCCTCATGTGAGCTTGACCCAGTGACCGAGCCTGCTTTGGGCTCCAGATCCCGATCCGAAGGGGAACTGTGCTGGGGCTGGGTGGAGTTGGCTGCACGCAGTGCTGCAGGTGCAGGACGTGAGCACCCAGGAGCTGGGATGCCGTGGATGCTGCGGTGCTCAGCGCTCGGGAGAGGGGTGCTGAGCAGAGCCCTGGGCAGCGTGGGCCCTCTCTGACCCTCCCCTGGGATGGGGTGTTTTCCCTTCGCAGCTGCTTTTTTTACCGCCAGCCACTTGGTCCAGCTGCAGGAAGCCCTGAACGAGCTCTCGGAGGAGCACAACGCGGCCCTGGCGCAGTCGCAGGAAAAGCAGGGGCAGCTGGAGGGCGAGCTGCGTGCTGCTCTGCAGGAGAAGGTGAGGGACCCCGGGGTCCCACCTGGGCGGTGGGTGCCCCGCTCTGCTGCGCCCGCAGCCGCCTGGCTGGGGACTTGTGCCAGCGTGCGGCAGTCTCCTGGGGTGCCCTGCTGTCTGCAGGCAGGGTGGAGTGGGCAGGAACCTCCTGCCCGTCCATGCCGGCACACGGGGAGAGGCCACGCAACAGCCGGTACCGTGAGGAGCCTCCCCTTGCTCCCGGGAAGGGTTCTCCGTCGAGGAGGGAAGCCCTGAGCCTGCCGAGGCAGTGCTGCAGGAAAGCTTGGTGTTGAATAAAGCTGGGTGACTGGACCTCCCCTCGCTTGGTTCCCTCACCTCGCGCCGTGCTCAGTCTCCCGCGTCTCTGTCCCCAGAAATGCTCAGAAGAGAAGATCGAGATTCTCCAGGGGAAGATCTCTCTGCTGGAGGACCAGCTGGCCAAGCTGGGGGACTGCAGCACCCAGGAGAAGGGAGAGGTCATGGCCGATATCCTGAAGGTACGGCGGGTCTCGAGACAGCCTCTGGCTCCCCGCAGCAAGGGCAGGCAGTGCTCGGACGGAAAACTCCTCTAGCTGGGGAGACGCACGGCCAAGCCGAGTGGGGCAGAGCCGGCTGCTCTCTGCTGTTGGGTGGGGGTTGTGGGACTGAGCACTCTGTGGGAGCCCCTTTTCTGCCGAATTTGGGAATACCGCTCCCGGGTGGCTGCTGGCTTCCCCAGCCTCCCGTAGCAGGGGTCAGTTGTGGAGGGAGCAGCTCCTGCATGGTGAGAAAAGGCATTTGGTCTGAGAGAGCAGGGCGGCACAAGGCTAAGGGGAAAGCGGGGTGTGCCGGGGTGCACTGGGGGTGCCAGGAGGGAAAGCGAGTGCCAGGCAGCTCCTGCTGGGACGCAGCACGTGGGTCTCTGGTGAGAGGGTTGGATGCAGCTCGAGTAATGCTGGGAGCGTGTGTGTTTTGTTTCCCCCACCTCCTCTT